AGGAAAAGGTCAAAGAGTTATAATCTTCCAAATTTTGTATGAAAATCCTTTGAATCAAATAGGTCATTATAGATTTTTTTTAAACGGAGCATGAAGGGCTCAATCTATTGATAAAAGCCGAAGAGAATTGTCTGGTTAATTTGAGGAAAACCGAGCAAAACCTATTACAACACACCTAAACCGCAGTGGCGTATCTAGGGGGTGGACAGGGTGGTCCATGGACCACCCTGGAATTTCCCCATAATCTATATAGCATAGAGAAAAATACATTTTTATAATAAAAAAATATATTTATGTGAATATTTTGCATTGGTGGACCACCCTGGCATGTTGGGCTAGCTACGCCACTGCTAAACCGCCATCATGAGACATGGCCATGCATGGGGCACTGCCGACCACTCTTGTAGGTACATAAGGTACTACATGATGTATATGTAATAAACCACTATATTTACATGAAACATTTATTTACATAGGATAACTCGACATTTCTACTACCTGTTTTACGGCTCATTGCAGAGCACGAGATTCTGTACTGTCGAGCTCGTTCTGAACATAGCTGCCATTGTTCTTCAGGAAGCCAGAGTACCATCGAGCAGAGAGCTTGGCTTGTCGTGGCCGCGCCTCATCGTTAAAATCGACACGGTATAGGCCGTACCGTGACTGGGGCCCTGCAAAGAACTCGAAGACGTCTAGGAAGGACCAGACAAAGTAGCCTTTTACATTTGCTCCATTCCTGAAGAGCGAAACTATGTCAGGATAAACATGTATGAATCCTGGACATTTTGTGTGAAGGCAGTGCTGTTGAGTTGAACTACATTCTTGGTGACTTTTGTTGAATGGCTAACCTTACTGCCTTCAGTGTGCTACCCATGTAACTCTTCAAGTATTCGATCCTTTCGGTGTCATTGAGAGTGTCATTAGATGCAACACCTGGGGAGATGAAGGGGAAGGCTGAGGATATTAGTGAAATTAGAATGAACTAGAAGCTGTGACGTCTGCAAAAACATTGTGACATAATTTTATCTAGCTCTGTAGAACGGAAAATTGGAGATCGTTGCAACCAGACTAGATCGACTTGCCATTCTCTTGCACATAGATAGGAACATTCCCATAGGCTTTCGTTAGGTACTGCAGCACACATTGCAATCCTTCCGGGTCACTTTGAGAAGATGAAGGAACATTCTGCAAGCAAAAGAAATTATTGTATATATTTATCACAACTCATAAGGTGGACAATATCTTGCTAAATCATTTGAGCTCTGAGTGTAGTCATATATTTTAGTATTTCTTGTTAGATTAGAATTTGTAATATGAAGAGATCATGTCTAAAAATAGTTCAGGCTAGTGGTTTCTCTACAAGCATTGTTGAAAATATTACCTTGCTACTTCCTGGGATTGTTTTAGAAGCTGCATCACAAGAACAAATATTATGTTAGCACTCGGCCAATGGGTTACTCAAAATCGTGTGTATTTTGAGAAGTGGCAACAAATTATTAGGTCAATATATACATTAACAGTGTGCTTTAAAAAAACATTCATCATTATTTTATACGAGATAAATGAATTGCACTGCCCACTCCTTCTGCCTACAATTAATGAACAATGCATATATTTTGTTTACCTCTTTGGTAAAGAGACATGTCTGCTGAATAGTCGCGAGTGCCTTTGTCTAAAGGACGATCATTAACATACATGGAATAGTAGTGGTTTATTCCTATGAAATCAACAGCTCCCTTGACAACTTGAGATTGAGATTTTGTGAAGGATGGAAGTCGAGACCCAACATTTTTCTTCATCACATCTGGGTAATCTCCAGACACCAGGGGCTCTAGTATCCTAGAAAAGCATCACAAGCTGGTTAGCTGCATACTGATTGTGAACTCTCTAGAACATGGAAATAAACATAAGAGTCCAAACAATGTTACCATCCGAACACGAAGTCTAAGTATCTTTTAGCTGCTTCTACATCCACATCAGAGTTTGTCATAGGATAACTCCAAGAAGAGTAAACATTTATGCCAACACCTCCCTTTTGGGCAGCCTACTTGCAAGAGTATTTTTATGTACACATAAAAGTTAGCATGTGAAAATACATCAAGAAGCAGAATTAAAAAAGCAGTCTTTTTATTGTCCATGAAATTAATGTGTTGAAACTGCCTAGAATATAATAATCTTGTACACACAAATTGTAATCATGGAGACACTGAAAACAGTGTATAGTGAACCAGTACTTTCTTCACAAATATTAACCAGGTAATGATTAATGAATCTTAGATTAAAACAGAAAGGTTAATAGTTTATTCCTTAAAGAAAACAGAGTAAACATGCCGGAAAAAGGCTTCACTTTTAGTTTTGGACACATGATGACTCACTTGATATTTTTCTCGGTAAAGTCTGGTAGCTGATGCATGAGCCAGTATCATGTTATGAGCTGCTATGTATGGTTCCACAGTTGAGTTTCCCACTGTACAATTTGTTATTCCAAATGGGTTGGAGCAACGTCCGGGTGCAAATAGTGCATTGTCGTAAGACCCTAGTGCGCTGACATTAGGTTCATCTATCGTTGTCCAGTATGAAACCCTGTCTCCGAACTCCCTAAAGCACACGTCCGCAAATGCTGTGAAATCTTCCCTGCATTTTTTAATGCCACTGGTGAGGAAATGGAAAGTAGAAATCAACTAAACATTGTCAAGGCATTTTGCATAAGCCACCTCCGTTATCTATTAAAGAAAGGCTGCTTATTTTTAGCTTTTGAGCAATTTCACCATTACAAATGGAAAGTTGCGGGAGCTTACACAATTTTAGGGCTTAACCATCCGGCATACTCATCGTCCAAAACTTGCGGGAAATCGAGATGGGAAAGCATAACATGGACTTGAATCCCTAAAGAATCGTGAAGGCTACACAGATTCAGAACTCAAGATAATGAAGAAGAACAATAAAGAAATTGTCAACTATGACATATTTGTCATTGTTGTGCATATACGATATAGTTGTTGAAAGATGGTTTTTTGTGTCGGTGCATGATAATTTATGCAGATTAGTACAAATAACCATACCATGTTGCACTAGCTCATTTATAAGGTTGTTGTAGTACTCCAAGCCTTTTGGGTTGACAGCTCCCCTCCCATCTGCAATTCTCAATTTTGAAACCAAAGATCAAACATTTATGTAGATGTTTTGACTACTGGGATAGAAATATTGTGGAATGCTTTCATACTTGGTATAAGCCTTGACCAGGAGATAGAGAATCTGTAAGCCTCTAGGTTAGTGTCAACCATGAGCTTGACATCATCCTGAAACATCAGGTGATGCCATTATTAGTGTACAACAAAGGAACAACAACCTAATCCTCTCCATCTATGGAATATTGAGAAACTTCAACCACAACAAAACAGAGTATAATATGTTTGTTTTTCCGATATCATTTTTTTTGGGTGGGATTCTTTAAGATCAAATTAACAGGGAGAAGGAATTCAAGTTCCACCAGGTAAATTTAACCGTAATTACCTTGTACTTGTGGTACCCATCCGCAGCGACATCGCCTGTGCTTTTATCCGACATTTTCCCTGGCATGAGAAGGAGAATATTGTCAAACAAAGTTTTACCGGGACCCTGAATTTGGTCACAATACTGACAATAAGTTTTTTTTAGGCAGAACCAACAGGTTAATTGGTTAGTTACCTGCTTGAGTGAAGGTGTCCCAGACGCTTGGGCTCCTGCCATCCTCAGCAACGGCACCCTCATACTGCATGAAAGAAAAACAGAGCAAATTAACCAGAGGAGCAGAGCAAGAGAAGCCAGCTAAAATGCGCAAGAGGTAAACGGGTAAACCAGAGCCACACATACGAGTTGAAAAGTAAATAACCAGAGAGCCACATAAATAAAACTAACTAAAACATGCAGACAATGAAAAAAAAATTGCTTGTGTGGTTGTTAACTTGTTGGGCTTCGCTGTGAGAGCTGGTGGATTGGAAATTTGGATCCTAGCGAACACTTGCTTTCGTTGGTTTGTTTGCACTGTTTAGAAGAGAAGCAGGGCCCAGAGCCTTTCGTCTAAAATATGCGCAAGAAAACAAAACTCAGTTGGAGCCCGAACTGATCAGGATCATCCGTTACCTGGTACGCGGAGGTGGCGGCTCCGAAGACGAATGCCGGCGGGAAGTCGCTCCTCGTGAGGCCAAGAACAGGGGCCGCGCCATGGGCGGCGGCTAGAAGCAGGAGCAGGGGGAGCTGGAAGAAGAAGGCCATGGCAGCGGGCTGTACTGATGGTATGTGCTTTCGTGGCCATGGTAGCTTATGGAACGAACAGTGATGGCCGATGGGCGATGGGTCATTACTTTTTTGAGAGCAACGAATGAACAAACCACGTGTGTCACGAGGCCGGCCCATTAACTCGGACAGTTGAACCAGATGGGCGAGACATGGACGGGTGGTGCCTGGTCGACCCTTCACGGATCACCGATTCACCCTATTGGGTCTTATATACTGTGTTAGGATAATCTTGTGCTTACAAGTGCCTAATCCTACTAACTAATGTACACTTGAGGCAGTAGCTAGCTGCAAGGTGAGCTGCAATATCAGCAAGGTGGTATGTAGATATCTCTCTAGGTGAGCGGTAAAATTAGTTTCTCACTTTCTCTACGGAATGCGAGAGGCGCTCGAAGGTTCGAGGACGAGGAGAAAGCAACCGTTTCCCCACCTTGAGCAAAAAAGAGAGTAAGTTATCCAGTTATTTTCAGTTTAGTCCCTTTAGCTTATATCTTTTTTTGAGGGTGTCAATTTTCAAACATCTTGAAATGTAAGTCAAACAAAATGAAGATCGTTGTTGCATATACGAATATCATACAAACATCATTGTCGCACATACTAACTAACTGAAATGAGCAAGGGAAACAAAGATTTGTTCGTGTGGTTGTTATCTTGTTAGGCTTCCCTGTGAGAGCAGGTGGACACCAACAAATAACTGTTTGTTCGTTTGTTTTGCTTATTATTACATGAGAGGCAGGGTCCACAGCCTTTCCTATAAAAATATGCGCAAACTAAAAACAATTTTCAGTTCAAGTTGGAACTAGTTCGGGTCATTCGTTACCTGGTATGCGGAGGTGGCGGCCCCGAAGACGAACTCCGGCGGGAAGTCGCTCCTCGTGAAGCCAAGAACAGGAGGAGAACAAGCGAGGAGCAACATCAGGGAGAAGGCGGCAATGGCAGCCATTGCTGCTGCAACCAGATCGATTCGATCACCTACCTTCTCTGCACTACTCAGGTACCGTACTATGTTTCTTCTTAACACTGGCGATCTTTATAGTACAACCTGCGTAGCTTTCAAACAAGAACTGTTGCCATCCTCTCCAAGATAATATCTGCTGGACCACAGTGCTGAAGATCACCCTTATCCACCCCCTATCCACCCCAGCGGCCATTTGACGCACACATTCGTGGTAGATTGTGGCCGCAGTGCTCACTCTCACGCGCTCCTGTGGCCTTGGTCAGTGGTAACTGATAAGTCCGGACTTGGCGCCACAACTTTTTTTGAAAGCGGACGGGCAAGTGGCAACCCCAAACGGGCAAACACTTACACCATATAAGGGACAAATCGCCCACGCGCGCCCCACATGGGCATTATCGCTTTCTTTCTTTCTTTTTATCATTTTCCTTTTTGCTGTTTCTTTCTCTTTTTTCTTCTTATTTTTTGGGTAAAATACATCAATGGTTTTGAGAGATGCATGGACCCTTTTCATTGCCATGTGAACACTTTCTCAAAACATGAAAAATATATCGACACATGAATACTTTTCTTTGTATATGCAATTATTATTTTAAATGCACGACCATTTATATTCATATGCCTGGACATTTTTCCTTGCCACTATTGAACACTTCTCTTCACGTATAGAATAAAAATATAAAAACACCTTTTGAAATTATATGACAGTTTCATGTACCTATAATATGTGAGCTTCTTTTGGCAACACATAACGTTTTTTCACTCATTGGATATATAAAACTAGTGAAACGAACTTAGTTTTCAGACAATATTGTTATAAAAATGTTTGTGTATTGTTGAGTTGCATATGAGTGGGCCCATCACTAATCATTTTGGCGATTTTTCCTGTATTACCCGCGCTATAAGTCTGTTGGGGTGCCCGCAAAGTTAGTCCAACCCATATTCTACCAAGAGCCCAAAAAGGCAAGTTTAATCATACACTTTCCTGTGAACAATAACAAATTATGCACTCTCAAAACATGCTCCAGAAGAGGCACCTATCTCACTGCCTGCAACTCTTGGGCATCCAAACTTCCTCCCACATAACCTAATTTTAGAGGCCTCCAACCCATCACCAAAAAACCCAAACAACTAAGAGGGAAATTTCTACTCTCATCCCTCCCTTGTTTCGACTCTCAACTGCTCCATGCCTGATGCTGGCTTCCTCCTCTTCTCCATAGACCTCCCACTCTACTCCCCCACCCCCTATCCGCCTCATTGTTGGGCTGCCCACAATGGCTCCCACCTTCACCGCCCTCCATCACGTCCTTGGTTTAACTGCCCTCCATGGCACCACCCTCCGCCACATGCCTCATGTCTCCTAGTCCTCGCTTGCTCACCTACGCCTTCTGCTTCCTTGACTCCCTACCGCCTGCCTACTAGCGGCGTCCATGTCATCGCGATTCGTCTCGTCTCTATGTCCTGCTTCTCGTTGTCACGGCAGCTCCTCAGCGTGATATCAACCTCACACAAAAGTTTTTGAACCAGCGGTCAAGATGTTTTATTTGCAAATTTTAATATTTATTTGCATATGAAAACAACATGTATATCTTGAGATGGTAAAAATTGCAATTGCAAAATAGTTGTACGTGTGAGATGGTCAAAATTGCAATTGCAAAATAGTTGTATATGTGAGATGATTGAAATTGCAATTAAGAAATAATTGTATACTGGTAAGTAGCTCATGTGTGCATGGAAAACATAATTTTGCAGAGTAAGTACACTTAGAATGAAATCACACGCTCTGTTTCTTGGACATGACATCTCATAATTATTTTCCATTTTAAAGGTTGGCAGGTTTTAACTTAAGCAACAAGGACTAGACTACCACACGAACTTAACATGCAAGATATCAAGAGTAGCATGCAACAGAAAGCAACAATCTTGCAAGTAAGAAGGAGGTAGGATTTAGAGTAATAAGCAAAGCAAAGTCACTTGGAAAGAACTCCTTGAAATAGTTGCAATCAAAGTGTATGTCAGGAATCCAGAGGAACACTCTCTCACAAACACAAAGGATCAGGCTGTGGTGAAAGAGATGATCTTGAGGAGAAGTGATTCAAGAAAGGGGGACTTCTTTCCTGGCAAAGAATTAAGAAGTTAATCATGGAATCACCCAATGCTTCCTTTTCCTATTCTTGCCTTGGATCTCCTTTTCTCCATGCGGTTGATAGATGAAGAATGCAATTGATGAGGTGGGCTAAAGTAGTTGGCAAGGAGTGAAATGGGTGAGATGAAATAGATGAGGTGGTTGTTGGGGGTTACCAACTCGAAGGGGTATGGTAGAGAATATATAGAGGGGAGGAGATCAAAAATCTAACCATTATACATAAAGTAACATAGGCTTGAAAGCACTGGTAGAAAACCAACAAAAATATCGATCCAAATAAAGTAAATTTGAATGTACATGGTAGTGGAGATAAATCAGATATAGTACTCGGTAGTACCGATTGAAAATGACTGGTGGCTCCGAACACAAAAAGGATAACACCTTTTCTATTGGATAGAACGACTCAGAAGTGCCAGTAAAACAAATAGCTCGGTAGTACCGCACAAAAAGGAACCACTGCAAGATTTGAGAAAATACGCAGAAAATAGTTAAGTCACATCTCTGAAGTATCGGAAAAAAACAAGTGGATGTACCAGGCTTATACTGCGAGAAAGATAAGCAAGTCGAGATGACTCAAAAGTGCCGATGAAATTTGATGCTTGCAAGTGTCGAACAAGCAAAAGGTTTTAGTAAGTGGAATGTTTGAGCTGGTAGTTCCAGAACAAAAAGATTGGTGCTTCTAACAAGTTAAATCTTGTGAATCAACCTGTGGTTGGATGGTTAGAGGGACTGTGGTATCCCCAGCCCACCAGAATTCAAGTTCTGGTGCTCGCATTTATTCTTGGATTTATTTCAGGATTTCCGGCGATGCATATTCAGTGGGAGGAGACGTTCCCGTCGACGACGAGGTGCCTACGGCGACTTCGTAAATTTTAAGATGATATGTCGGCTCAGTCTTTCGGGCGTGCTCATAAGGATAGGGTGTGCGTATGTGTGTTCATAGAGATGAGTGTATGCGTGTGTATATGAGTGCTTGCGTCTGTACTGTGTTTAAAAAAATCTTGGTTTGATATTTGAGCACGAATAACTCTAAGTAGCTTTGTAGCACCAGAAGAAAATCTTTAGAAGTCAAGACGCTTATAGAAATTTGGAATTGCTTTGACTTTGGACCCGTTCCTGGAATTCAAGCCAAAGTCTCTTCTTTTGCCCCTCTTCATAGTATGGTTGTTGTTCCGGGCCGGAGTGTCCCGTTCCGATGGTTTAGCTCATTTGCCGTGGGGATGCGGGTGGGTTTTTTATCGGCCCGACTGGGGTATGATTTTTTTTTTGTCTCAAATGGTACTATAAACCCGACCACTAAATAGGATTACCGTGTTGAGCTCTACTACGCACGGATGCCATTTTCCATGAAATTTAATATGAGAAAAATTGGAAAACCAACAATTTCCTAACAGAAGCTCAATGCGATAGATTGTCGTCGTCTTGCACACGTGATCGAGCTAGCGATCGAACTAGACCTAGCAGCGAGTGGTGCATGCGTTCTTTAGAATCTGATTTTGAGAACATTCTGGAAGGTTCCAAACTGGCTTTTGGAATCTTCTAGAAGGTTTATAACCGATTTTGGGAACATTTTAGAAGGTTTACAACCGACTTTGGGAAGGTTCCTAAACCGTTTTTTACTGGTTGTATGGTTCTTTTAGTTTTTGCTTTTCCCCTTTTTTCTTTTTCTTTTTCTGTTTATTTTATCTTATTTCCTTATTTTCAAATAATGTTCGAAATTGAAAACATATTCAGTTCTTTCAAAAAATGTTTAGAATTTCAAAAAATATTATGGTTTTCAATTTTTTTTATAAATTAAATTACTTGTGTTTACAAAAAATGTTTGAGTTTTTCAAACAAAATTCCCGTTCTTCAAGTTTGTTCATAAATTAAAAAATGTCCATGTTTTTAAAAAATGTGTACACTTTCCAGATAAGGTTGAAAAATTCAAAGAAAATGTTCAGGAATTCAAATAAATGTTCAGTATTGAGAAACGTTCTAGTTTTTCAATATTATATTACAAATTCCGAAAAATGTTTG